TATATATATATATGTGTATGTATATAGAACATAATTTTACAATGACATATTTTTAGAATATCTATTTTAAAACATTTCTGAAAGATATTGTGATGATAAATTTATTCTCTTTATTTATCAATACTAAAAATCTATAAATGTGATATGAACTATATGTTTTTGACAACATACGTTAGAACGCAGCTTTAATAAACATCGGCGCCGCTGATTCGATCGGCGCATGCGCGCGTCGTGCGGCAGCACAGTGATCATGTGATCGCGTTAACTTTAGTTCGAACACACGCGGCTACGTGAAATGCCGAACGCGAGTGGTACGTTTTTCACTACTTTCGTCTTCGTCGGTCGACGACGACGTTAGATCCAACGACGATAGATACGTTCGAGACACGCGTGAATGAAGGGACGATTGACGAGAAAATGAAATTGCGTCACGACGATCTGCTTACTTGACGTTTGTCAATTCACAGTGAGGTTAGTGCATACATTTACTTGCGCGCTATTTTTTTGTTGGGCGCTATACTTTTCCTTTTGCGCGGAAATCGCAATGAGAAAATCATACGGACTAAAAAATATAACATGTAGTAATATACATAAATAACAACAAAAATATAACGTATAACATGGTAATATCAATATATTTATCTGATGATTTATTTTTGAAACAAATGTTTTTTGTCCGCAATCTGTATTATCATTATTCCGCATATCAGTAGATCCAAACTGTGCAAAATTCTTACTTTGACTTTTTTTTATTTTTTTAGTTGTAAAAAAACTATTTTTTGAACATAGATAAAAATTTTAAGCGTAACTTGTTTCGAGTTTTGATATGTTTAAAACATTTATGGTATACAATATACATGATATTGTGTGTAAAACATATGTATAAATGTGTTCTATACTTTTAGAATTTGTACTGAAATAAAAAATGTTTCGTGAAAGTTTTACTATATTAAGCGGTTTAACCTATGACCTTTTATCCTGGAATGTATCTGAGAATTGGATTCTGTATCCAATCGAGGTCAAAGAAAATAATTTTTGTCCGAATTTAAAAATGACTGTAATATTAGAAATGCAATTGGAAACGGACACTGTTATATTCTATTTATAAATATAAATATAAATTTGGCATATTTTGAACACTGCCGTTATTGTGTTATTTAAACAATGATAGTATTTAGTGTGAAAATGAAGTAATTTTAATTGCATGATTTATTTCAAATACAAATTGAAATCTTTAAATCATTTATTTATTTATTCTTGTTTTAAACTTTTAATTGAAGCTTTATAGCTTGAACATTTATAGCATTATTATTAAACAATATTAAAACCAACCGATTTTAAAATAAAATTATTTTTAAAAATTAAATTTGTATTGTTCATTTTAGATACAATGGAAGTATTCAAAGTTTTCCATATTACTTTATTCTAAAGAAATAATTAGATATCATGGGAAAAGTCGATTTTGCATAAAATTGATGAAATGGCGCTATATTTAGACGTGAGAAATCATGCGTTAATAAAAATTGTTCTTACTGTATACTGTGCTCTCTCTTGTACATCATTATTATTATTATTATTAACAGCAATTAAAATCTGCACTTTACCCTTACGCATAACCATTCAGGGCGAGTAATTTAAAGAATCTCTAGCTTATCGTTTAGTACCATAAAATACTCGTACGACACGTTTCATTCCGATTCCGAAAGAATCTATATCTAAAAATCGTTAATGATATTCGCGAATTCTTATGATGCGCTTTAAAGAAGTAAAGTCTATCATTAGTGTTTTTATCGGTACCATAAATATCTTGGCAGTAAAACATATATAGATTTTATTATGTTCTCAGGCAATACATAAAATATTATATTGTAAAATACATATTTTTCATATTTTTTATATTTTCAAAATTTTCTCATATAAAAAACATTAAACGAATCTATATCTATCTATAATTTTACAGATCTTTTTGTTCAAAGATTTTTGTTCAAAGATAGTTTATTTGAAACAAAAGACATGACATATAATTTAAATATAATAAAAATAGATACGACAAAAAGCTTTCAATGGAATTTTATCAGTAAATTCAATGGATTTGTATCAATAAAGAAATTTTTATATCTCTTCTTTCTGCTTTCAGAAAAGTTTTTACAGTTACTATGAATCTTTTAGTGGATAGAAAGTTATATTAAGATGGAGTATAAGAAGATTTTCCATTTTAGTGTAATGGAATATGACATCACGCAAAGAGAGTCAGAGTTAATTTTATTTTAAAGAATACATTTCATACGTGAACAAATATATTTTAAATCATATATAAATGAATAGCAGAAATTTATCTTGATTAAGAATTATTTGTACAACGATTTCGTTTTAAATTTTAAAACATTTATATAGCGTTTATATGTCAGACAGTTTAACAATAACGTGTTCAACAAATCTAATGGCTATATAATATAATAGTGAAGAATTATTAGATTGTATTACATAATTTTATATAAATTTACTTTTCAAATCATTATTTAAAGAGTGCTCAAATAGATAGAAGTCTTGAGATAAACTCTGAAACTCCTTAAAATATCAATTTTATGTGATGATGTTTAATGAAATAATGTTTGATTTGACAAATATAACAAATGTTTTTAAATATGATTACATAATATGTGCTACTTCAATAATGTAATTAAAATTATATTTATGTGCTTCAAGTTGGAATTACGTTAATACGCGTTTGCTAAATTTGGCTGTCTTTGAACTACATTTTCGTTGATGGTTCTTATAATCGGAACGAAGTTCCAGAGATTTAATATACAAACGTGCGATCGAGTTAACGAAGTTTTTAACGCAAGTTCGAAGGCCTACTGCGAGAAGAAGCGTTGCCATCGTTTTTGTCTCGCTGAGGTCGGAGCTCCAAGTCTCGGTAGGCACGGAGCTCATGTGCCGACTGCGGAATAAACACAGAAATAAACGTGCCAAATGGATCGGTGGCGAACGCCCCGAAGGGAAGGCAGAAAGATGGAAACACGACGGTGGACCTCCTGAGAATTCACGAGAAATGATGTACAATATGGATGTTCTGAGTACATCCTGAGAATATACGAAATATACATAATATGAACATATTCTGAATATATCCTGAGAAATTTATACAGAGATTTTCTGATGTTCCGAGTATATTTTAAGAATATACAGCTTTAAGATATTACGAATATTAAGATATTATTCGATGTGAATATAGAATATTTGTATCTTTAATAGCTTACATAGATTCTAAGAATGTTCGCAGGATATCGCAAAAGTGCGACGATTTCCCGTTGTACAAACGTGCGTGCGTACAACGAAAATAGACGCAGGAAGAAGCGACGACTGGAGTGAGACTTTTTAGTGAGATTCACGCACACGCGCCCTCTCCCCTCGCGATGACTTTATTTTGGATATAAACCAAAGTGTAAATCGTGATCTGAAATTAATTTTAAAAATGTGCATTCTGACGTCCTTTTCGCGAATATATTGGTCAAAGAAAGATTATTTAAAATTTGAGATTGCTTTTTAAAATTAAAAAAAATAGATGGAGATCTAATTTTAGATTTTGGACAAC